TCTGACGTCAGTGTGAATTTTCTACTTACATAAAAAATGTGGTATTACCAAGACTTAAATTTTAAGAAACGGGGAAAATTTGTCTGAGGAAAAAATAATTTTTCTACTTAAAAGGTAAGCGACTTAAGTCTATTTATTGTTCATTTATTGTACATACCAAAAGTTGTCTGACAGAGAAATAATTATTCTACTTAAAAATATTAATTTTAATCAACAAAAAAGTTGTCTGTCGAGAAAATAATTTTTCTACTCAACAATCAAAGAACTTGAGTCTATTTACTGACAATAATATACCAAATGTTGTCTGACAAAGAAATAATCATTCTACTTAAAAAATACTGATTGTATTCAAAAAGTAAAAATATTTTCTGACATAACTGCGAATTTTCTACTTTCTACAAAATATGGTATTGACAAGACTATATTTATTATAACAAACAACAAAAAGTTGTCTGACGAAAAAATAATTTTTCTACTTAAAAATATTGTCTGACACAACTGCGAATTTTCTACTTTTCACAAAATATAGTATTAACAAGAATATTTATTAAAACAAACATCGAAAAGTTGCCTGACGAAAAAATAATTTTTCTACTTAAAAATAAGAGACTTGAGTTTATTTATAGTCACACAATTAAGAAATTTTGTCTGACAAGGAAATAATTTTTCTACTTAAAAAATATAAAAACTAAAATATGTTTATTGTAAGAAGAAGTTAAAGGTTTATCTGTCGCAACAGCGAATTTTCTACTTTTAAACAAAGTATGGTATTGACAAGAGTTTATAACAAAAAGAGAAAAATTTGTCTGACAAAAGTGGGATTTTTCCCCTTTGAAAAAAGCTAAATGGCGTCAACAAAAGACTGTTTATTGTAAATACTGTCTGACTAAAAAATAATTTTTCTACTTAAAAAATATACGGTTTTATAATAAGTCCAATTATTTTAATAAAAGATGAAAAACTTGCCTGACCAAACCTAGGTTTTTCTACTTAAAAATAAACGATTCTAACAGGTTCAATTATTATGAAAAAAGATGAAAAACTTGTCTGACAAGAACGAGGTTTTTCTACTTAAACTCTAGTATTATCAAAGAATAATTATTATAACAAAATAGAAAAATTTGTCTGACTGACCTTTCGTTTTTCTACTTCAAAAACAAGAGTTTAGCCAAACTTATAATAATTTTATTAATACAATCTAATTTTTTAAAAATATTTTTCAAAATATTTTAAAGTAGTGTAAATTCGATAATTGGAACATAAAAACAGTTGAGACGTTTCGAAAAAAATTCAAATATTACAATTTATTTTTATTTCATTTACAAAAACGAAAATTTGACTGAAAAAATTGCCAATATTCTTAATTTTTAAAAAATAGACTCCCAAGTTACGCATTTCAAAAAAATATTGTCAAAATAAAAATAATAATTATTAATTCTCTCATAACAATAGAATAAAAAAAAAATTGAAAATCAATTTTCTTCCACACGTATTCCTTTCACCGTGATTTATTATTTTCTTTTTTATGCGCGAACCTTTTTTTTTCATGTCTCGTATTATTATATATAGGTATAGGTATTTAAAATTTCGTTATGACATTGATGAATTTAACTATTTTATTAGAGAGTACAGACGCAAGGCCATGAGACTATCATAAAAAATTTTGACCAATTCATTCTTGTCGTAGTTCCTATTATCTTTTTCTGGAATCAAAGAATAAAGAAATTCTTTATTGTAGACGTTTTGTAAGTGCGTCATAGAGAAGAAAAATTAAAAAAAAGATAGAGTATGGAGGTGGCACTGTATTTTGTATATATAAATTAGAAGGAATCGTTAGCAGATCGTTTAGTTCATTTTAAATCGTTGGCTCGATTAAAGTTAGTTACCTGCATTTTGAATTGTATATTTTTTATTTTTTTTTTACTATTTTTTACACTTTTTTGTTTTTTGTTTTTTATTTTTCTATTACTTAGTTGCTTTTTTTGGTTTTTATTATTTATAAAAAATAAAATAAAGAAAGAAAAAATAAAGAAGTAAATAAAAATTTACTTCTTTATTATTTATCATTTATTTTATTTATTTCTATATTTATTTACTTCTGTATTTTTTATCGCTTATTTTATTTATTTCTGAATTGTCAATTTACTTCATTATTTATAATTCTTTCTATTTTTGTTTCTCTATTATTTTATAAATTTACTTTTTTATTAATTATTCTTTCTACTTCTTGTATTTCTATTTATTTACTTTCTTTTATTTTTATTTCTTTCGCTTTTCTTATTTCTCTATTACTTTTAATTTGTTATTTCTTCTGTTTATTCATTTTTATGATTGTTCTTATTATTTATTTTAGATAGTTATTTATGTTTACAATTTGAGGTCAACATAATTCTCTTCCTTTATTTATTTGTTTATTTAAACAATAGAATTATTTTCTTTTTAATTGTTATTTTAAAATTTAATCATTTAACCATTTTTTTTAACAAAAATTTTAATAATAATATTAATGTTTTATATACAAGTTTACAAAATTTACTTTACAAATTTTGTTCTTGTAAAAATATCTGCAAATAAATTTTTATTGTTTCATTATAAAAAATAATTATTCAGTAAAAAGCAAAGAAAAATTTTTTATTTATGTTAATGGTAATTTAATTAATTCCTAATTTTAACTAAACAAGTAATTTAATTTTTTTTGTGTTAATAAAAAAAAAAATTTGCAATGCAAATTTTTCGTTTAGTTAAATAAATTAATTATTAATTTTTACTTAAGCAAATGTAATTATTATTAGTGAAACAAAGGCAAAATTTTTTCGATTAGTTTCAAAATAAATGGAATTTAATAATAAATTAACTGATTGATTGTTAAAAAATGAAATTTTTTTGTTTAGTTCAGTAATAAATTATTTAATAATTAATTTTACCATAATGAACAATTATTTGCCAAGCAATGCAAATTTTTTTGTTGCCAAAAAATGGAAATTTCTTCGTTTAGTTTAATAATAAATGAAGCTTAATAACAAAATTTAATTGTTAGCTAAACAATAAACATTTTTTTGTTTAATTTAATAATAAATAAATGAATTATTAATTTTACCTTCACAAACAATTATCAGGGAAACAATGAATTTTTTTTTTGGTTTCGTTGAAGAATGAATAAAATATTTAGTTAATTATGAAAAATAATGGATTTAAAGAAGAATTTTAGTTAAAAACACTAAAAAAAATTGAATTTTGAAGAAGTTACAAATGATTGCAGAAATTCAATTATTTTCAAAAGTAAAAAATTCTCATTACAAAATTCAATTATGTTCAAAATTCACAAAAAAATCTCAACAAACTCTCATTTATTATCTTTATAAATAAAAAAATTCTTCTTCAAAATTCAATTATTTTCAAAAATCTTTCTCATTTCAATTATTTTTAATATCTACTATTTTAATAAAATTACCCAAAAGAATTCAATTGTTTAAAAGCAATTTTAATAAAATTCCTTGAAAAATTTAATAATTCTAAAAATTTTTATTAAAATTCGTCAAAAGAATTCAATTATTTAAAAATGTTTTGATAAAATTCTTTATGAAAATTAAATTTTGAGAAATATTCAATTATATTCAATAAATTATTTATTTTTGTATTTAAATAATTCAATTCTCGTAGAATTTTCAAATAAAAATTCATTCGAAAATGAATTTTAGTTTAAATTTTAGATAATAATAGAATATGAAAATAATTTTTAAAAAGTTACAATAACAATATTCTTATAATAGAAAATAATTATTTTATCTCTCGAACATCTTTAATTATTATAATCGATTTCTTCATTTTTTTATGACAATATTTTTAAAGTTATTTAATTTTAAAAAGATTTGAATTTGAAATTTTTGAAAATCTCAATTCCTATGGAAAAATAATAATAATTAAATATTTATTTAAAAAAGAAGTTATTGATGTTTTTAAATAATTTTGCAATTAAAGAAATTCGTAAATAAATGTAACAGAACATTTTTTTGAGTAAAATTTTTTCCTCTTTTTTCTAAAAATTCAAAAATTTTCATTTTCATTTAAAATTTGTAATTGACAAATGGAATTTATAAACATTTTTTTCCTTTATTTTAAAAAAACTTTGAATTTTATTAAAACAATTGTAATTAAGAAAATAGAAATGATGTAAATTATTTCCTTATGAAAATTAAAAAATTTTCTACAAAAATATTAAAAAACGCGAATATATCTAATGTTTTTCTTGTCAAAAGAAAAAAATGAGGTTCTAAACAATATTGTTATTGAGAAATAAAAATTATCGAAATTTGTTAAAGAAAAAAGCATATAATAAACAAAATGGGTATATATTTCATTTGTTAATCATCATTTTTTTAAAAATTTTCAATTTCTAATATTAATTTATTTTGAATTATATGAAAAAATACCTGATGCATATTTTCAATTTGTCAAACAATATTTTTAAAGAAAAAAAAACAACAGTATACACAAAAACTAACTTCAAACTTCGGACATAATGAATGAATGAATATGAAGATTAATATAGTTAATTAATAATAATTAATAATTATTAATAGTTACAGTTTTTAATTAATTATTAATTAGTTATGAATTTTTAATTAAAATTACAGTTTTCAATTAATTATTAATTAGTTATGAATTTTTAATTAAAAATTACAGTTTTCAATTAATTATTAATTAGTTATTAATTTTTAATTAAAATTACAGTTTTCAATTAATTATTAATTAGTTATTAATTTTTAATTAAAATTACAGTTTTTAATTAATTATTAATTAGTTATGAATTTTTTGAGCTAGAAATTATTAATTAGTTATTAATTTTTGGCATTAGAAATTTTCACTATATAAAACAGGGCAAACGGGACAAAAAAAATGATCTGAAACACCAAATTTCACATTTGTATAGAAAAACAATTTTTATTCACAAAAAAAATGTCGTTTTCCAAGTAAAAAAAAAAAATTTCGACAATAAATAATTTATACCTATGGAGTGTTGATGATTTTTTTTTTTTTTGTTTATTTGCGTAATGAAAAATGAGAAATCAGTGAATGACGGCTAGTGGCGCAGTTTTAATGAAGGCAGGACTCGCGACAATGGGCGCAGGAGCAATGATGTGCGTCTTGAGAAGCGGCGTCGCCAAAATAGGAGCGTGAGCCACCAATGGAGCAGTCTTGATAATTGGCGCAGGAGCAATTAGCGGCGTGGCCTTGACGAATGTCGGCGCAGCGATAACGGGCGCTGTTTTAATGATTGCATGGGGCGCAGAGTGAATGACAGGCGTTGCGATAACGGGCGCCACCGGTGCGGCAACAAGTGGCGCGGCCAAAAATCCTGGTTTCGCCAATGCGCTGCCAATTAGACATGTCAGTACTACGAACTTGAACATTTTTTTTTAGTTTTTACTACTATACTTCTTGTTTCTTGTTCACGTTTTGAAGATTGCTTCTTGGATGACTGAAGATTGGACCACTGTGGATGATCTTATATATCCGCTGGTCTAGGACAAATTTTGACATTGATGCTGGTCAAGAGCGTCTGCTCGAGATTCTTTAGAGGACGAACTACCTTCACTCGTGGGCAAAAATAAAAAAAAAAAAGCTTCCCAACTCCCTTAAGCGACAGATGCAAGGTCGTGTTTCGAAATTTTATATTCAAGTTCATTGCGAATTATATCTTTTTTTAATATCAATCTATCGATTTTTTTCATTTTTTTTCCCTTTCGAAAAATTGAGCTCTTGAAAAATAATTTTTGAAAAAATGCGACTAAAAAGAAAAAAATTGTTTATTCTCTAATTTATAATTTATTTCCTAGATTCGATTTTACTTTAAGTTCATGTTTGAGACACAAGCGAACCTTGATTTTCGATATAAAGAAAGGGAGAACTATATAATTAACCCTTTTGCATACATCATCTTATTTTTTTTTGCAACACGAAATTATTTTTCAATTTTTCTTCATTTTCCCTGCGGTAGGATTTAAATTAAAAAATCATTTTCGATAATACTGAAAAGTAAACAATTTCAGTCTTTTTTAGAAGTTCCACTACTTTAAATTCTCTAGTACTAGAAATAAAAAAAAAATTTTCTCAAAAATTATAACCAAATTCTCTAAAACGATTCAATTATTATTTTGAAAAAAAAATCAAAATCAAATTATTTTCAAATTTCTAGTATTTTCATAAAATTTCACAAAAGAATTCAATTATTTAAAAGAAAAATTGGCACAATTCATCCAAAATTCAATTATTTTTATAAATAGTAAAATTTCCACAGGAATTCAGTCAATTTAGAAAAACATTTTCGAAAAAAATTAATTATTTAACAAAATTTTTATACAATTCTTCACATTATTCAATTACTTTCAGTAATAATAACAATTTTCATGAAAATTCAATTTAAAAAAAAAAAATATTTGATAAAATTCTCAGCAAGAATTCAATTACTTTCATAAATAATAAAACTCATTGAAGAATTTCAATTATTTTTAATACTATTTTAAATTAATTAATCGAAAAATTCAACTATTTTTACAAATAAAATTTTCCACAAGAATTCAATTATTTAAAAAATAAAATTTTCATAAAATTTATTATTATATTTCGAAAAAAATAATTATTTAAAATAATGTTTATAAAATTCTTGTGAAGAATTCAATTGTTTTCAAAAATAACAAAATTTTTAACAGAAATTCAAATTTTTTTTTAAACATTTTAATAAAATTCTTTGGAAAATTTAATTATTTTCATAAAAAATAAAACTCATCGAAGAATTTCAATTATTTTGAATACTATTTTAAATTAATTAATCGAAAAATTCAACTATTTTCACAAATAAAATTTTCCACAAGAATTCAATTATTTAAAAAATAAAATTTTCATAAAATTTATTATTATATTTCGAAAAAAATAATTATTTAAAATAATGTTTATAAAATTCTTGTGAAGAATTCAATTGTTTTCAAAAATAACAAAATTTTTAACAGAAATTCAAATTTTTTTTTAAACATTTTAATAAAATTCTTTGGAAAATTTAATTATTTTCATAAAAAATAAAACTCATCGAAGAAATTCAATTATTTTGAATACTATTTTAAATTAATTAATCGAAAAATTCAACTATTTTCATAAATAAAGTTTTCCACAATAATTTAATTATTTAAAAGAAAAATTTTCATAAAATTTATTATATTTCGAAAAAATTAATTATTTAAAAAACAATGTTTATAAAATTCTTGTGAAAAATTCAATTAATTTCGAAAATAACAAAAATATTCACAGAAATTCAATTCTTTTTAAACATTTTAATAAAATTTTTCGCAAAAAATTCAATTATTTTCAATTATTTCAATTATTTTTTTTTAGTAAAATTCTTCTCAGGAATTCAATTATTTTCGAAAATTTTAATAAAATTCTTAGCAAATATTCAATTATTTTCATAAATAATAAAATTCATCGCAGTATTTCAATTATTTTTAATAAAATTCTACAGGAATTGATTAAAAAAATGTAATTATTCCTAAAAATTTAATTTCAATTCCTCGAAAAAATAAATTATTTAAAACAATTTTTTTTTTTAATTCTTTGAAAGAATTCAATTATTTACAAAAATATTAGAATTTTTCACAGGAATTTAATTATTTTCAAATATTTTAATAACATTATTGTTAAAAAGAAATCAATTATTTTAAAAACAATTTAAATTAAATTTTTTTGAAATAATTCAATTATTCTTTCAGATTTTAATAAAATTCTTCCAAAGAATTCAATTATTTGCATAAATAATTCTTCGAAAGAATTCAATTATTAAAGATAAATAACAAAATTATACCCGAAAATTTAATTATTTTGAGGCACTTTAATGAAATCCTTTGCAAAATTCAATTATTTTTATAAATAACAATATTCATTACAAGAATTCAATTATTTTTAAAAGTAATAAATTTCTTCTTGGAAATTAAATTATTTTAAAAAATTCTAATAAAATAGTTCGCAAGAATTTAATTATTTTCATAAATAATAAAATGCTTTTTAGAAATTCAATTTTAAAAAAAAATCAATAAAATACCACATAGACATTCAATTATTGTTGAAAATTTTAATAGAATTCTTTGTAAAATTTAATTATTTTTAAAAACTTTTCGCAATTCAATGATTTTTAATATCTACTATTTTCATAAAATTTCTAAACAGAATCCAATTATTTAAAAAATTCTTTGTAAAAATCTTCGTAAGAATTCAATTTCTTTCATGAGTATGGAAAATTTCTCAAGAATTCAATTATTTAAATTAGAATTTGCATAAAATTAGTCAAAAGAAATCAATTTTTTAAAATTTTTTATAAAATTCTTCGCAAGAATTAAATTATTTTCATAAATATTTAAATTCTCTCATGAATAATAAAATTCGTTGCAGGAATTCAATTTATTATCAGGATAAGAAAGAAAGAAATATTTTTGATGAAAATTAGGAAAAAGTCAGGAAAATAAAATATAGAATGGAATGAAGTGTCTAAAACAATTTTTTTTGGTCTTCAAGTTTAATTTTTTGATAGCTACTTTTTTATTACTTTCTTTAGTTTAAAAGCTACTTTTTGCTACTTTTTTAGAATTAAGTATCGAGTGTGAAGTCTGGAAATTGCATTCTTCACTTTTGAATTACAACTAAAAAATATAAAAATAAAAAAAATAATTAGAAAAAGAAACAGCAAAAAAATTATAAAAGAAATTAAAAAAATGAGAAATAGAAAAATTTCAATTTATTAGCAATTTGAATTTTAAAATTAACATTTAATCCTTAAAATTTATCAAATTTGAGATAAAAAGAAAGATTTAATTTTCTTTAAAATAAAATTCAAAAAGTCCAATTAAAAATTTAGCCAATCAGGTAAATTTCCTTCTTTATTCTTACATAAGAGAAGAAGAAAAAAACAGTTCGCCTCACGTCGAAGGTTCTTTTAATCGAAAAGAAAATAATTGAATCACTAGTTTGCAAGAAAGGATTTCGTTTTCAAACGTTGAAGTCAAATTATTTTTCCTTTGATTATAGATAAGATGCTCTTTTGATCAAAGGGAGCGTAAAAAAGAAAGAAAAAAAAAACAAAATAAAACAAAACTCAAGGCACAATTAAAACAAACGAATTGAATGGATAATTGAGGTCTAAAAATAATTTTTAAGTGGTCCTTTAAAAAAATGGTAGATTCGTTTCGAAGATATTTATATTTGTCTTGAAAATTGTATACACGTAGGTATATAATTATATTTTATTTCTATGAATATATTTAAATATTGTTTTTATTTATATTATAAATTATTTGGTTTAAATAAAATTTTATTTGGTTTAAATAAAATTTTACTTGGCTTAAACAAAATTTTATTTGGTTCAAATAAAAGGTTTATTTATAGCGAATCAAATTTTATTTAAACCAAATGAAAATTTCAAATAAATAAAAAATCACGTTGGCTCTGAGACAAATATACTTTTATTTACCTAAAATAAATTATATTTGGTAAATAGTAAATTAAATAAAAAAATAAATTATATTTTCTCTATCAATATTATTTAATATTAGTTAAAAAAAATTATAATATTATAATATACAATTTATATAATTTCTCAATTTATATATTTTCTCTATGAGTATTATTTAATATTAATTAAAAAATTTATTAAATATTATAATATTTAATTTATAGAAAATATAAAATATTAGATGAGCGTAAGTATAAATATAAATATAAATATAAAATATTAGATGAGCGCATGTATAAATGTAAATATAAATATATATACATATCATACGCATATAAAAATATATATATATATATATATATATTAATGAGGTATACTTGGACACTAACCTTGAACTACTCTTGAGTATATATAACCAGCGTCTCGATCTTGTCTGTATTTTATTTGCAATACTTAAAGGCTCCTTTTAATCTTTCTATAGACTCTCGACAACAAGTTGTACACAATTCCGATACCGTAGAAACCTTTAAAGATCGTTCATTCTGTCTATCATCCTTTATTGCCGCATGATGACGCGGTTTTTTTTTTCTTAAATCTATACGAGAAAGAACAGAAATAATGACGATGAGCGCGCGGTAACAGATAAAACGTTAAAAAAAAGGAGAAAGATTTATTTTACACACTTCTTTTATAGCAAGTTCCCTTTTAACGAGATGATGAATTTTCACTCAGGAAAAAATACTGTTATAAATTATTTTATATATTTTTATGGAAAATAAAATAAATTTTAAGTCATTTTTTCAACTGTTTTCAAAGTCTGGAATTTCGGTTTTTAGAAAATTTTTAAACTATTTCTACAAGATGTAAATTTAATTCACAAAAGAAGAATTTCGTAATTTTTCACTAAAATTTAGTTCTTTGAAAATAGTAAAATTTACTCTAAGAAAATGGTAAAATTTACACTGAAAATAGTAAAATTTATTTTAGAAATTTTAACGTTGATCCTGAAAGTAGTAAAATTTACCCTGAAATTAAAGTAAAATTTACTTTAGAAATTGAAAAATACACGAAAAAGAATATTTATCAAGAACAGCCACAACTTTCTGTAATATAGCGAAAATTTTAACTAAAAGAAGTAAAAGTTTCGCTAATTTAGTGAAATACATAGTTGTTCAGTGTAAAATTATGTTTTCCTCTAAATTTATCCTAAAAGAAGTAAAATTTACCCTAAAAATAGTAAAATTTACTTTTGAAATTGTAAACTAGTACTGAAAATAGTAAAATTTACCCTGCAACTGTAGTAAAATTTATTTTGAAAATTGAAAAATGAATTTGTCTTAAAAGGAGTAAAATTTATTCTGAAAATAATAAAATTTACTCTTGAAATTGTAAACTAGCACTGAAAATTGAAAAATGAAATTATCTTGGTACACGCGTAAATTTACCTTGAAAATAGTAACATTTATTCTGAAAATTGTAAACTTTATCCTGAAAGAAGTCAAATTTACCCTAAAAATAGTAAAATTTACTCTTGAAATTGCAAACTAGTAGGTACTGAAGATAGTAAAATTTACTCTTGAAATTGTAAACTAGTACTGAAAATAATAAAATTTATTCTGCAAATGGAAAAATTAATTTATCTTGAAAGAAGTAAAATTTACCCTGAAAATAGTAGAATTTACTCTTGAAATTATAACCTAGTACTAAATATAATAAAATTTACTCTGCAAATATAGTAAAATTTATTCTGAAAATTGAAAAATGAATTTATCTTGATAGACGTTAAATTTACCTCGAAAAAAGTAAAATTTATTCTTGAAATTGTAAACTTTATCCTGAAAGAAGTAAAATTAATCCTAAAAATAGTAAAATTTATTCTTGAAATTGTAAACTTTATCCTGAAAGAAGTAAAATTAATCCTAAAAATAGTAAAATTTACTCTTGAAATTGCAAACTAGTAGGTACTGAAAATAGTAAAATTTACCCTGAAACTATAGTAAAATTTACTCTTGAAATTGTAAACTAGTACTAAAAATAGTGAAATTTATTCTAAAAATGGAAAAATTAATTTATCTTGAAAGAAGTAAAATTTACCCTGAAAATAGTAAAATTTACCCTTGAAATTGTAAACTAGTACTAAAAATAATAAAATTTACCCTGCAAATATAGTAAAATTTATTCTGAAAATTGAAAATGAATTTATCTTGATAGACGTAAAATTTACCTTGAAAATAGTAAAAATTATTTTGGAAATTGTAAGCTTTATCCTGAAAGAAGTAAAATTTACCCTGAAGATATTAAAATTTACTCTGTAAATATAGTAAAAATTTTAGCAAAATTGTGCAGTAATTTCTGTGAGTTTAGATTTTACTAAAAGAAAATAGTAAAAATTATTTTTTATTCAATTCCTAGTCTTTGCTAAATATTTAATAATTTTACTAATTTTTAGTAGAAAACAACAAATTTGTAGTAGTAAAATATCTGTGTTAATTAAAATAATAGAAGCAGTTTCACTATTTCAATTAATAAATATTTTACTATCAATCTATATTAAATTAATAGTTTTCTACCAAAAATTAGTAAAATTCTTACTGTTTAATTAGTAATCGAAATAGAACTTTTTAATAATTTGAAAACAGCTAGTTGTTTTCTACTAGTAATTAAATACTAATAAAACAACTTCTACTAGTTGTCTTTTTTCTGCTACATAAGTAAATATTCGTTAAAATCCTTACTACTTAATTAGTAATCGAATTAAAACTTTTTAATTAGTAGAAAACCACTAGTATTATTCTACTAGTAGTTTAAAACTAATCAATAATTTCTACTAGTCATCTAGTTTCTACTAAAAATTAGTAAAAATCTTTTACTATTTAATTAGTAAACGAATTCGAATATTTTTATTAGTAGAAAAATACTAGTAGTTTTCTAGTAATTAAAAAATTTGAAAACTACTAATTCTACTAATTTTTACTATTTAATTAGTAGTAATCGAACTAAAACTTTCTAATTAGCAGTAATCAAATTAAAACTTTCCAATTAGTAGAAAGAACTAGTATTTTTCTACTAGTAGTTAAAAACTAATAAAAATTTTTTATTAGTTGTCTAGTTTCGAATAAATATTCATTAAAATCCTCATTATTTAATTAGTAGTAATCGAATTAAAACTTTCTAATTAGTAGAAAACTACTAGTATTTTTCTACTAGTAGTGAAAAGCTAATAAATTACTTTTACTAGTTTCTACTACAAAATAAGTCTATGTTAATTAAAAAAACTAGAAACAATTTCACTATTTCAATTAATAATCATTTTACTATCAATTTAGCATTAATCAACTATTAATTAATAGTTTTCTACTAAAAATGAGTAAATTTCTTATTATTTAATATTAGTAGTCGAATGAAAAGTCTTTAATTAGTAGAAAACAGCTAGTAGTTTTTTACTAGTAGTTACAAACTAATAAATAACTTCTACCAGTTGTTTGTACTAAAATTTAGTAAAATTGTTTTACTATTTAATTAGTAAACGAATTCGAATATTTTTATTAGTAGGAAAATACTAGTAATTTTCTATTAATTAAACAAATCGAACTCGCTTTCTTATTAAATAGTAAGGATTTTACTAAATTGTAGTAAAAACTAATAAAAGTAATTTATTAGTTTTTAACATACTAGTAGAAAAATACTAGTTGTTTTCTACTAATTAAAAAGTTTCAATTCGTTTACTAATTAAATAGTAAGAACTTTAACGAATATTTACATATTTAGTAGAAAATAGACAACTAGTAGAAATTGTTTTATTAGTATTTAATTACTAGTAGAAAACAACTAGCTAATAATTTACTTTTACTCATTTTTACTACAAATTAGTAAAATCCTTACTATTAGTATTATCCTTACTAATTATAGTAAACGAATTCGAACATTTTTATTAGTAGAAAAATTTCTTGTATGTTTTCTACTAATAAAAAAGTTGGACTTCGTTTATTAATTAAATAGTAAGTAGAAATCAGCTAGCAGTTTTCTACTAGTAGTTTAAAACTAATAAATAACTTCTACTAGTAGTCTAGTTTTTATTAAAAATTAAAAAAATCCTTATACTCTTTAATTAGTAAACAAATTCGAACTTTCGTATTAGTAGAAAAGTACTGGTAGTTTTCTACTAATTTAAAAATTTCAAAAACTACTAATTTAGTAGTAGAGTATTACGAATTTAATAGTAAAATATTTATTAGTTAAAAATTAATAGATAACTTCCACTAGTCTCTACTGAAAATCCAGTAAAATCTTTACTATTTAATTACAGTAATCTTATCACTATTTAATTAGTAGGAAACCATTAGTGAAAAAATAGAGAGAGAAAGTAAAGAAGAAAGAGAGAAGACGCAAGAGGGAGATAAAACCCGGACAAAGAGACAATATAGAAGAGAAGAAAGAAGAAAAAGAATAAAAGAGAAAAGAAGAAAAAGAATAAAAGAGAAAAGGAAAAAAAGAAGCAAAAGAAAAGAAAGGAGAAAGAAAAAAAAGAATAAAAGAGAAAAGGAAAAAAAAGAAGAAAAAGAAAAAGAAGAAAGAAGAAAAAGAATAAAAGAGAAAAGGAAAAAAAAGAAAAAAAAGAAGAAAAAGAAAAAAGAAACAAGAAAAAAAAAGAATAAAAGAGAAAAGGAAAAAAAAAGAAGAAAAGAGAAAAGGAAAAACAAGAAGAAAAAGAAAAAAGAAGAAAGAAAAAAGAAAAAAAAGGAAGAAGAAAGAAAAAAGAAAAAAAAGAATAAAAGAGAAATGGAAAAAAAGAAGAAAAAGAATAAAAGAGTAAAGGAAAAAAAAGAAAAGAGAATAAATAAAAAAGCGAAGAATAATTTGAAAAAATAGAGAAAAGGTGAAGGTGAAGAAATAAAAAGACAAGAATAATTTTTTTCTTAGGAAGGGGTAGAAACGTGTATTTCATTTTAAAAAAATGAAGGGATGATATACGAAAGAATAACCGTATGTACAAAAATATTAGTCTTTTTGAAATTTTTGGTATTTTGGAGGAGAAGAATGTTTTCTTTTTTTTTCTTTAGTAATATCCATAGAGGCCATGATCGTAGCCATAACCACCATAGCCATAACCACCATGTCCAATTCCATAACCGTAACCATGTCCATAGTTGGATCCATAAGAGTAGGGATATCCATGTCCATAACCTCCATAATAACCTCCATAGCCTCCATAACCTCCATAACCTCCATGTCCGTAGGTGCTGTATTTATAGATTGGACTGTAAATCGTTGGTGGTGCGTAGTGAATCTTGGTCACTGGCGGTGTGGCGTATGCAATTTTCGTGATTGGTGGAGCAATTACTTTCGTTACCGATGGCAATACCTGTATGCAGAGAATTCATAATTAGTGGCACATTAAAAATCATTTTTTCTTTTTCTTCCTTTCTTTCTTTATCTTTTTTTCTTTTTCTTTCTTTATTTTTTTTCTTTTCCTTTTTTTCTTTTTCTACCTTTACTTTTTTTTTCTTTTTTTCTTTTTCTTTCTTTTCTTTTTTTCTTTTTCTTCCTTTACTTTTTTTTCTTTTTCTTTCTTTCTTTCTTTCTTTCTTTCTTTCTTTTCTTTTTTCTTTCTTTATTTACCACTTTATTTTTTATCAATTGTTTTTTATTCTTATTTTCAAAGTTTAAACCAAAGATTTCAAATTGAGACAAAAAACGTATCAAAATTGTTACATCGCAACAAAATTGTTGCGATGCAACAGTTTTGCTACGTTTTTTTAAATTCCTTTTGATTAATTAATTTTTCAATTGATTTCAAAATTAATTATCAGCGAAATAATTTGTAATAAATTAAGTACCTTGTAAGTGCTTGCATAGCTGGTGGCGTATGGATATCCATAACCATAACCATGACCATAGCCTCCATGACCATAGCCCCCATAACCGTAGGAGTCATAAAGACCGAGGCCGGAGTACAAACCGCCAGCGGAAGCGTAAGCAACCACGGCGAGAAGCAGCAAAATCTGCACAAAAAGAGAAAACATTTTTTAGAATCAAAACATATAAAGTTAAAATTAAATTGAATAGTGTTCAAATAAAAATTTTACTTGTGTCAAATAAATTTTATTTTGTTCAAATGAAAAGTTTACTTGTAGTGAATAAATTTTAACTGGTTTAAATAAATTTTATTTGCTTCGAATAAATTTTATTTGGTCCAAATAAAACGTTTGCTTTGTTGAGTAACTTTTATTTGGTCTAAATAAAAAAATTTCTTTTTTGTCTAATAAATTTTATTTGGTCCAAATAAAAAATTTGCTTCGAATAAATTTTATTTGGTCCAAATAAAAAAATTTTCTTCTAATAAATTTTATTTGGTCGAAATAAAAAAATTTTCTTCGAATAAATTTTATTTGGTCCAAATAAAAAGTTTTCTTAGTTGAATAAATTTTAAGTATGGTTCAAATAAAAAATTGTATTTGTGTCGAATAAAATTTTATAAAATTTGGACGAAAAAAGACTTTTATTTTTGTCGAATAAAATTTTTGATTTAAAATAAATAATTTTAGTAGATTCTGAGAAAAATACACTATTATTCAACTAAAATAAATTCCATTTGGTTTAAGTAAAATTTCCCTTTGCGTGAAGACTAAATAAATTTGCAACAAAAAAATAAAAAATACCATCTAAAAAGAATTTTAAAAAATTAAATATAAAAGAATAAAAAAAATTTTAAAAATATAAGTATCTATAGAAATATCAAAAGTAGAGAATATAAAAATTAATAGAGAAAATCGATAGAAATAATCATTATAGGAAAAATCAATACAAGAAATCGATAGAAAAAGCAGTGGAAAAAATCACTAGGAAAAAATTAATATAAAATAAAAATTAAAATCCAATTAAAATAAACGCCATCGAAAAATTAAATCGCAATTTAAAATCAAATAACTAATTAAAAAAAATCTTGAATACAAATTGCACTTGAATGAATTAGAAAGAAAAAAAAACCCGATTGATCAGTTATTAAAACATAAACAAAGCCCTTAAATTGAATAGTGCAATTTCTTGCGTAATAATCATTAAGAAATGTCAGAAAGCTTGTATATACATATATATATATATATAAATGTGTGACTCAACTTCTTTTTCTATCTTTCTTTCTTCATATTTTTTTTTCTCTCTTTCATTTGCGCGCGGACGTTTGTAGCATATCATTTTGACATGGAGACCAGTATTTACATGCGCGGACTCGCCTTTTAGAATCCTTTAGGTCACGAATGAAAAGGAGAGGTGGAGGGCAATTTTCTCACAGAAGACCTACTTATTAGGTTTATGTCAAACCAGACTTTATAGTAATATTTCTCCCATAGAGCATTGACATTCCATAGAAAAAGTAACCGATGATCTCATGAATGACACGATTATCGCTTCTCTTTCTTATTTTTTTTTCTTTTTCCCACTTAATTTTTAAGCGCGCATATATTTATTATTGTTTAGCACCGAGGGTCAATAAAAACAATGTTAACAAGTTGTTGTCTCTTTTGTGTTAATAATTCCGTGTGTATGTGAAAATACCGAAAATTCTTCCGAAGAAAATTTTAATTAACAAAATTATTTTCATTCGAAATCAAATAAAAATTAATAAATAAAAATAAATAAAAATGAATATAAATAAATAAAAATAAATAAATATTTAAATAAATAAAAATAAATACAATAAAATATAAACTTACTACTTTTACTAATAAATAAAAATTTGCCTACCTATCAATCGTAAATCAGATTTTTCTAATAAATAATAATAAATGTTGTTAAACATTGTTGTCTCATATTTTGCATTTTTTCCAACTATTATTATTTATAATTTTATTTATTTATTGCAGAAACTAAAATTATAAATTTTGTCATTGAAATTAGTTGTCACTTGAATCATTTAATATTATTATAATTTTTTTTATTTATTATTTAGAAGAATTTTTTTTTTTTTTTTTTGTAATAAATTTTATTTTTGTATAATAATTTTGCGAAAATTTTTGATTAATTTTTAATTTTTAATATAAAGAATATTTCACTTGAAATTCTATTGTTAGGGAATATTTTGCAAATGACATAATTGAAAATTAGCAATTTAATTAAATAATCACATGTCATCGGCCTCCGCGATGTAGTATTACGTAATGAAATTCTGTAACTGTATCAAATGGAAGTTACAGGTGACAGCGCATTCTATTTACGATCCGGTATAAGTGTAAACATTGTTATTCGTCATTAACACGTCAATGTCCCATTAATTGTCAATCAAAATTTTTTTTTTTTTTTTTTGCAAATTTCTCTTTTTTTTTGCAATTTATTTATATTATTTATTTCGCGCGATTTATCGATATAAACTTTATATATTTTAATTTTAAATTTTATCGCAATTAATTTATAATGTAAATTTAAAAATTTCTGTGAAATTTTTATTAATTATTATATTATATTTATTTACACTCTCAGTCTATTTTTATTAATTATTATAAATTTATTTACTCTCCCTGCCTATTTTTATAATTATTCTAATATATTTATTTCCTCTCCCTGTCTATTTTTATTAATTAATTTTTTTTTATACAAAAATAAGAAAAAAAATATGAAAAAATATTTTTATAAAAATTAATAAATACTAAAAAATAAAAATTACTTTTTAAAGTGAAAAAAATATTAAATATTAATTTTATTAAATTGTTTATATTTAACCGTTTTGTTATTATTTAAATATTAATATTTAAAATTAACTTCTACATTTAAACCCGTGTAAGATTGAAGTAACTAATTATTATTAATATTTAAATTTAAATTTAAATCCGTATAGAATTGAAATAAATAAATTATTAATATTTAAATTTAAATCCGTATAGAATAAAAAATAAATAAATTATTAATATTTAAATAAATGTTAATAAAAAATAAAATAATTTCCAAATAACAATAAAATAATTATAAACAGAATTTGAAGGGGAATTTTTTTAAAGTAAATTTTAAGTCAGATATTATTTAATAAATTAATTTTAAGCGATTTTTTTTATAATTTTTGCCAATGTTTTCAATTTAGTTTTTCAAAATCCAACTTTTATGTATAATTGTTAAAAGTTTATTGTATACTGAAAATTTAATTGTTCTTCACTCTTTTGTAAAAAAAAATTGATTCTTCTTTACATCTTTCAATGGAAGTGATTATGAAAAAATAGTAAAATACTGAATGAAAAAAGTCATCAATATAATTGTATAATATTAATATATAATTATATTGATGTAGCATTTTTTTTATTATTTTATTTTTGTTTGCAATATTAGAGAATTTATTTATTTTCTACAATTTACATTTTTTTCTGCATTTTCTTACAGTAGAGAAAAAGAAATTTCCCGCATGAAAATTTTAATAATAAAGTTATTAATATTTTTGTAAAAATAAATTTATTTGTTTACTTATTTTCTTTAATTTATTTATCATACTTTATTTATTTTTTTTTATTTTATTTATTTGTTTATAAACGGGATAAGCTATTTCGTAAAATTTAACTCTATTTACTTTTTTAATTTTAATTACTTTACTATATTTATTTATTTTTTTAATTTCATTTACTTCACTTTATTTTCTTTTCTATTTTTCTTACTTATTTAATTTTTTTTTCTATTTTACTTTATTTATTTAATTTTTTTTCTATTTTTCTTATTTATCAAATTTTCTTTATAATATTTAATTTTTAAAAATTATTATTAGAATTTTGTTTTTCCTAATAAAATTATCAGTACTCACAAGCTTGATCATGTTGGCGGTTATTGAGGATTAGTTAGCACTGTTGACTGACTAGACGAGTATCTTAGTAGTCCTTATATACCTCATCGACTCGGCATCCATCTCTCTCGTTAAACTAGAGAATGGTTAATGGTTGACAATGAGAAAAATGTTTTTCACCCCCCTCTCCTCAATTTTCAATAGTTGTGAATGAGAATTTGGATTATCGCGAGAGAGTTTCCATTATTGCTTCTTTGGGGGTGTGGTGCGGGGTTTCCTAAAGGGAAACTATTGCATTTAATAATATATATAAATTCAAGGATTATTTCAGAACTAATCAGTACCAGACACCATCAAGGATTCAAAGATTTTTCCCCGACCTTCTTATGTTTATTGTACTCTAGATTTTAATTACGTTTCACTAACCAGGAAGGACATTAAAACGAGAAACTCTCACTGTTTGCCCTTCCTTTAAATTGCACATTTCAAAGGTCTGTAAATATTTCTTTCCGAGGACCTTATATTATGTATATTAGAAGGAAATTGCGGTAATAAATGTTATAAAAGGTCTGGAAATTAGAAGAAAAAAGAATTGTTAACGAAATTAAGGGAAAGGAAGAGAGAAAAGGGGAGGGAATTAAATTTCAAAATTGCTATTATTGGGATTTATTAAAATCTATTTAAATTTTGATATAAATTATTCCTATCTAATTACAAAAGCATTTATTTATTTCATGTCCTAGTAGTAAAAAATTTATGTATTTACGTGCACTTAACAATTATTCTAAATCGTATTATTTACAAAGGTATAAATATCATTTTAGAGACAAATATAGGAAACAAATTTTTTCTCTACAAGGTAAAGATTTTATAAAGGCAAAGTATTACAGGAAACAAATTTTTGCATATTAGTGTAATAAAATTTTTTCTTTTTAATTAAAGATTTGAAAGAACTTTTTTTATCGCTACCAAGGGACACTTGCCCTTAATTTTAGAACAATTTTTAGAAATTGAGTAATAATTTTCTCTCTAATTAAAAATTAATCTTTTCTTGATATGATTTCCAGACAAAATTTTCACTTTTTCCCTGACCCTAAAGAATATTCTGATTCCCTCTAAAAATGATTAGATACTCAAAAAAAAACATTCTATTACATTTAATTACGAATTTTTTTAAATGTAAAATTATTCGAAAACATCAATAAATTCTTTTTTAAATAAATATTTAATCATTATTATTATTCCATAGAAATTAAGATTTTCAAAAAATTTAAAATTCAAACTTTTATGAAATTCAACAAAATATGAGAATATTATTATAAAACATGAAGATATCAATCACTCCGAGTCTTCGACTCGGAGTTATTGATGTCTTCATGTTTTGTAATAATTTAAATTTCCATAAAAATTTTCACAAAAAAATTAAACTATTTACAAAAATTTTAATAAAAAATAACTCTTCGCAAGAATTCAATTATTTTTACAAGTAATAAATTTTTTAAAATGAATTCTATTATTTTCATAAATAATACAATTTTTCATAGGATTTCAATAATTTTTAAATACAATTTTAAATAAATTCCTCGAAAAATGTAATTATCTTCAAAAAATGTTTGCAAGTATTCAATTACATTTTACAAATATAATGAAATTCTTCGCTGAAATTCAAATATTTTCAAAATCTACTATTTTAATAAAATTTCTAAAATGAATTCAATTATTTTGAAAAAAATGTAATAAAATGCATTGCAAGAATTCAATTATTTTCGTAAATAATACAATTCTTTACAGGATTTCAATTATTTTAAAAAAAAATTTAATAAAAATTCGTTGCAAGAATTGAACTATTTTCATAAATAATAAAATTCTTCACAGGATTTCAATTATTTTTTAAAAAAAATGTAATAAAAATTCTTTACAAGAATTCAATTATTTTCCTAAATAATAAAATTCTTCACAGGATTTCAATTATTTTTAATATAATTTTAAATAAATTCTTGAAAAAATGTAATTATTTTCAAAAATAGTCAAAATTTAATTATTTTTGAAAATTCATGCTATAATGCTTTTAATATTCAATTATTATGTAAAATTTTAACTGAAATTCATTTTTAAATCAATTTTTATTAGAAAATTCTACGAGAATTCAATTATTTAAATACAAATAAAATGTAAATAAATAATTTTTTGAATAAATGAATGTTTTTCAAAATTGAATCCTCATAAAGAATTTTATCAACAAATTCTTAAATTCGAATTTTTCGACGAATTTTAATAAAATCTTCAAGAATAATTACATTTTTCGAGGAATTCAATCAAAATTGTATTAAAAATAATTGAAATTCTATGCTGAGTTTTATTATTCATGAAAATAATTGAATCTCGGTAAAAAAATTTATTTTTTTTTTAAAATAATGTAATGTTTGCTTTTTATCAACACTTTTTTTTAAATAATTGAAGTCTTTTGAAAAATTTTATTATAAAATAGTAGATAATGAAAATGATTGAATTTAGGAAAATTTTTGAAAACAATTGAAATTTTGCTAAGAATTTCATTAGAATTTTTGAAAATAATTGAATTCTTTTGTGAAATTTGATTAAAAAATTGTTTTAAAAATTCTTCCAAAGAATGTTTTATTAAAAATTTTTGAAAATAACTTAAGTCTTATCATTAAAAATTTTTTTTAAATAATTTAATTCTTGCAAAAAATATTATTATTTTTGAAAATCATCAGAATTTTTTTCACTTCTTTTCGTTAAAAAACTAAAATTTTGTCACATATTATGTTTTTTCAAATTTAAATTATGCAAATTTTTGTTCTTTACTTCTAAACAAAATTAGAAAATTATTAAACAACTGTAATTAAGAAAGAGAAAAATTATTTATTTTGCATTATTTTTTGTTTATGAATCACAATTTTTTAAAAAAAATTATCATTCTGTTTTAGAAAAAGAACAAAAATATTTGCACAATTTCTATTTTTAATCTTATTTTTAGAACAGGATTTTCCACAGGAATTAAGACATTCGAAAATTTCAAATTTAAACCTTTTTTTAAATCAAACCGAGAGATAAAATCATTATTTTATATTATAAGAATATTGTTACTGTAACTTCATTAAAATTATTTTCATCATTTTAATTCAATTATTATTTTCTACAATTTTAAAGTATTTTTTATGAAAATAATTAAATTCCTGTGAAATTTTTATTATTTATGAAAATAATTAAATGTTTTTTGTAGAATTTTATTAATTTTTTTTTTTTTAATAATTGAATTCTTTTTGGGAAATTTTATTAAAATAGTAGATTTATTGAAAATCATTGAAATTAGAAAAATGCATTTTATTTATGAAAATAATTGAACTATGGAGAAGAATTTTGTTATTTATAAAGATAATTGGGATTTTTACCAGAATGTTTCTTAAAATTAATTTCTCGTAAAATATGTTATCAACAAATTTTTTAAATTATTTAATTCTTTGGACGAATTTTATTAAAAACTTTTTAGAATAATTACATTTTTCGAGAAATTCGATTGAAATTGTATTACAAATAATTGAATTTCAGCATTGAGTTTTATTATTTATGAAAATAATTGAATTCTTAAAAAGAATTTTATTATTTACGAAAATAATTGAATCCCTGTAAAAATTTTATTATTTTAGAAAATAATTGAATTATTGCGAAGAAATTTATAAAAATTTTTTTAAAGAATTGAAATTCTATAAAAATTTTCATTATTTATGAAAATAATTGAATGTTTGCGTAGAATTATATTCAAATTTTCTTTTTAATAATGGAATTCTTATGGAAAATTTTTTGGAAAATAATTAAAATTTTGCCAAGAATTTGATTAAAATTTTGGAAAATAATTGAGTTTCAGAGAAGAATTTTATTATTTCTAAAAATAATTGAAATTTTGACTAGAATTTTTTAAAATTTTAGAACAGAATTGACTTTCTGCAAAGAATTCTATTACTTTTGAAAATAATTAAATTTCTGCAATTATTTATAATTTCTCCAAAATTGAATTTCTTTTGGTGTTTTCAACAAAAATTTAAATTAGAAAATTTTTAAATTCTATTATTTTTTTAAATTATTAATTTTATTTTAAAAGGGCAGTAAGAAGTTAGCCACGCGCTTTGGCGGGCGAATTGTTGCTAGTTAATGTTTATTTTTGAAAATATATAAAAATTTTTAATTAGCAAAATAATAAATGGAACAGTAACATATGGTTTATTTATATTATTTAAATGCTTAAAAGTATTCTTATTATTACTTGATATATATACACAGCCTCGGGAAAATTTTCAAAAAATCTTCAAGTTTTTACAATATTTCTTCAAATTCTTCAAATATAGTAGGGGAACATAGTCTAGGTCGGCCACCTTTTTGACTTTTGTTTATAACTTTTTTTTAAAAATGAATTTGGACAATTGAAGTATATGGTTGGAAAGTCCTGTTTAATAGGAACATTTTTTCTGTACAAAGTAAATTGACAGGTTTAAAAATGAAAAAGTTATAAAGATTTAAAAAAAAAAAAATTTGTAGTCCAGGTTAGCCATTACAGTCAAGGTCGGCCATGTTTAAAATTCAAAGGGCATTAATCGTTAAAAAATAAAATAACATGTTTGGAGTTACGGAAAATTGATTCTTTATTGTTTACAGTTTGTAACTTAATGAAATAACAAAATAATAACAATAAACAATATAAAAAAATAAATATAAATAAAAAAAAGTTTTGCACTAAAATATTAATAAAATTAAATAAAAATATTAATAAGATGATCAATTATATTATGAGTTATACAGAATTGCAGTTTTTGCAAATGAAGTAGCTCGTCCTCAACTTTGCGCATTTTAAACACATAGTGGCCGACCTTGACAGTAAGTAGCATTACCGAATTGTTGTAACCATAAAGAAATACGTTTCGGGATTCGATTTTTTACTTTGTTTTTCTTTCAACCATGAGTCCCACAAATTTTCTGCATACTTGCCTTGACGATTCAATTTGTTTTTTATCTTTTATTAATGGTTTTTCACATTATGCACAAAACTTTTTTTGAGCTTTTTTTGTACCGACGTCACAGAAAACACAATTTTCGATTTTCCGAAAATGTAATTGAA